AGGGAGAGGGAGAGAAAGTAAGTGTGGATGTGTGTGTGTGTGGTCCAACTTTGGCCAACACCACATAAAACAACCAAAAACATAATAAAACAAACTAGGGGTAAAATGGTCATTTCACCTAAGCATTTCGATAGTTTCGGGACGGGGTGTCACAACATACGTATATATTTATATTATATTATATTATATTATATAGTATTCGGGACAGATTCAGGAACATATACGAATGGGATACTTGTAACTATATCCGAAACCGTAACCACATAATATTCGCAATTTTTTACCATATTATAAAATTACCCGAATTTTCATTTTCAAATCTATCTCATATCGAGTTTAATGATTTGAATTGCCATTACTAAATATAGATTGTTTATATATACTAACATTTGACCTACACACTTTGTGTGTATGAACATATTTTTTTAGAAAGTGAGAAGGAGAGAGGGAGAGAGACAATGTGGGGGAGTGGAAGGTTTTTGTTTTTGGTTTTATTTATATTTATATTTATTATTATTATTATTATTTTTTAATATTGAATGTATTTTAACATTACTTGTAGGTGATACTTCAATAAAAAACAGTAAAATTTGGACTTATGAAATTACATTATTGCCCATCATTTTTTTGTGTGTGATAGAAGACTAATTTGTCTTTTCACTTGGTTGACAAAGAGAGTTTCATTAATTAGTAGAGAAATAAAAATGTAAAAAAATTTAGACCTATGAAATTACATTATTGCCCATCATTTTTTTGTGTGATAGAAGACTAATTTGTCTTTTAATCATCTTTTAGTTGATAAAGAGGATTTTATTAATTAGTAGAAATGTAAAAATGTAAAAATGACAAAGAAATGGGTCCAAAGTAACTAAAAATTGGACATATTTCAAAAGTTAAAAGTCACTAAAAATTGGACCTATTTCAAAAGTAAGTTTATAAAATTGGACTTATTTCAAATTTTTTTTTTTTTTTTTTTTTTTAGGAAAACTAATGAAAAGGGCTTGAAAACTTTGAGTTTTAATGATAAGGACAAAATAAAGAATAAAGTGAATAGTACTAGGATTGACTTTTTAGTGTAAAAATATGGTTTTTCGTTAGAGTAAACAGTACCGTGGGTTTTTTGTTAAAACTCTTCCTCTTTTTTTTTTTTTTTTTTTTTTTTTTGGTTCTGCATGCAATATGTCAAAAAATGTAGTCGATAAATTGGTTTTGAAAATAAATTGGGAATAAATTTAGTCCCCTCGCTCTCGGTGTCACCCATTGAAGCAGGTTTTTGCACTCTGCAGCTAAACAATGGGTTTTGGCGGGACGACCTTGCAAACCCTGAAGCTCGCCGCAATTCCTCCACCTTCCTTTTCTTCTTCTTTCCACTCCGTTTTCAAACCGTTTTCCCAAACCTTTCTCTGCCGCCATAGCCGCAGACAAAGACTTCCACTTCCTCCGCCCTTCTTCGTCAGAGGCCTTTCAGCCCCGGCCGCACAGGCAACTGCCACCGCAGCCCCAAAAGAAACAAGCCCAGATGAAAAGGGTTCGATCATTTCACAACCCTATTTGTAGTTTGAATAAATTGGAGCTTAATTTTTTATTTTTCTGGTTAATATATTGTGTTTTTCTTTTGGGGGGAGATGCAGGTGTGAAGCAGCAATGGAAAGCAACGATAGACTTCAAGTGGATAAGGGACAACAAGGACGCGGTTGCGGCCAACATAGAGAAGAGGAACTCCAATGCCAATTTGGATCTTGTGCTTGAGCTCTACCACAAAATGCTCAATCTTCAAAAGGTCGGATTTTTAACTTTTCTGATTTATTGATTTGCTGAATCTTTACAAGTGCTGCAGGAGTTAGGAAATTTGTTGTTTTTAAGTTTTGGGAAAGTGTTGTTTTGTTTCTCAGTTTATGTAGCTAATTGTTACTCACAGAAAGCAGGAAGTTGAACGGCTTCGCGGGGAAAGGAATGTGGTTGCAAACAAGATGAAAGGAAAGTTGGAGCCATCTGAGCGTCAAAAACTTATAGATGAAGGTATCATTGTGCCCTTCTTTTGTTTATTCATTGTTTATACTTGGTGTGCTGATTTAGATTTGAGTTATTTAGAACTGTGGTCTTTTGCATTCAGGAAAGAATTTGAAGGAAGGGCTTCTTTCTTTGGAAGAAGACCTGCTTAAACTTACTGATGAGCTTCAGCAGGAAGCACAACGTATACCAAATATGACTCATCCTGATGTCCCGATAGGTGGAGAGGATTTTTCAACTATAAGAAAGATGGTCTCTCTCTCTCTCTCTCTCTATCTCTTTTTCACCCGCACACACGCAGGAGGGAGGTATTGTAGTCCATGTTCATTATGCATTCATCCTCATTTTCTGTGACCTTTTGTAGGTAGGCAGCCCACGTGAGTTTAGCTTTCCTGTCAAGGATCACCTTCAACTTGGAAAGGAACTAGATCTTTTTGATTTTGACGCTGCTTCAGAGGTACTATCTTTGTCTCATTTAGTGTGTTGAAGTGTCTCTCGTATATGGAAACGAAGAAAATCATGCCATTTAATTTCCAGTCTCAGCATTTAATTAGACTTTGTACCGAGTTGGAGATTATTGGAAGATTTTATAAATCCTCTAGGTCATGCTTGTATCAAATCAAACTAACCCTTATGCTATTTCCAAAAACATTGGGTGTAAATGGATCTTGGATCCATTTAACAAGGGAAAGGGTTTGGGTTCCTATCTATGCAACTAAAATTTTGCTAATTTCTACAGGTCAGTGGCTCAAAGTTTTACTATCTGAAGAATGAAGCAGTACTCCTAGAGATGGCCCTTATTAACTGGACGCTCGTGGAAGTAATGAAAAGGGGCTTCACACCTTTAACAACCCCAGAAATTGTAAGATCCTCCATTGTTGAAAAATGTGGTTTCCAACCCCGAGGAGCAAATACCCAGGTTAGTTCATACATTCTCTTTTTCATTGTCTGCTAGAAACAAAATGTTGTCTTAACTCTGGCTAAATATTAACAGGTTTATTCTATTGAGGATAGTGATCAATGCCTCATTGGCACTGCAGAGATTCCTGTTGGTGGAATTCATATGGATTCTATTCTTGCTGCATCATTGTTACCTTTGAAATATGTGGCAGTTTCCCATTGCTTCCGTACTGAGGCAGGCGCTGCAGGTACAGCATCAAGGTAAATTATCAGCACGCTATTCTTTTCTTGTCATTGTATTCTTTGTGAAAAATACTCGATACCACTTGGGTTCTGGTCCCATATTATTCTTAATATTCCTATTTTTCCTAAACGGCTGCTGCCAATTTGCCTGTAACTGTCCAAATATGCTTACATGAGGAATATGATTATTCTTTAATTATCCATTCTATCCAACCCAAAGGGGTTGGCTTTATATAGTACTCTATGAACATCAAAATGATTAATGCGGTTATGTGCCTTGAAGTTTTTAACAGCAATTTTTCCATGCCGATAGTGAGAGGGGTTCACTGGTTGGCTCTCTCGTTTAAACCAATTGTTTAGTTTCTATTCACAAGAATCTAGGATTGGAATATATGAATGCATACACCAGTTTTCAATTTAATTTTCTATAGTTTTGGTTTGCAAGTGACAGGTTGAAATCTTAAGTAAGATGCGTTCTGCCTGCTGTGTGCAGTTCAAAATTGGCATCATTTATTGTCTTTGGCATTTTAGGTTTACTTTGTTTTTGTGGACAACTGAAAGTATTCTTATAAATTGTATTAATTCTCTAAACAAGTGGTCCAAAATTTATTTTTATTACACTTCTGCTGTAGCAATATCTCCATACTGTGCAAGGTTGTTTACCAGTTCCACTAAACTGATGTGTTTTGTGCACCTCTTAAAGATTGAGATACCGTGCTTTGTATTCATAATCTTCCGGACAGGGTTTACTCTCATAGTCTTGTGTGCATGTAGAGATATTCTGTAAGACCTGTGGATCTTGTCCATCGTACAATAAATTGTTTTCTATTCTGTTTAGGGGTCTGTATCGAGTCCACCAATTCAGCAAGCTGGAGATGTTTATATTATGCCGACCAGAGGAAAGTGATTTCTACCATGAAGAACTCATAAGAATTGAAGAAGACCTATTCTCATTACTAGGATTACACTACAAGTGAGTACTTCTACACAACCTTTTGATTGTTCAGATGATTCGACTTTTCTGTGTTTATGGTAACATCGAGTTTCTTGACAGAACTTTGGACATGGCATCTGGGGATTTAGGTGCGCCTGCTTATCGTAAATTTGATATTGAGGCATGGATGCCTGGCTTAGCAAGATATGGGGAGGTATTACAACTCTCTCTCTCTCTCTCCCTCCCTCCTCCCAAAAGACAAAAGGAAGAAAACTTGTTCTTGGTTTCACAGGCTTAAAAATCTGCTACTTCAAAGTTTTGTTTTGAGATACAAACATTTATGTGGTCATTTGATTATTCTGAAATCATCTAATCCCATTTCAATGGCGACAGATATCAAGTGCATCAAACTGTACAGACTATCAAAGTCGTCGTCTTGGGATCCGGTTTCGTTCTACAGAACCAGCATTAACAAATCCTAAGAAGGGTAAGAGCAACCTCGCTCCACCACAGTTTGTTCACACGCTAAATGCAACAGCCTGTGCAGTACCACGAATGATCGTTTGCATACTTGAGAACAACCAGCAAGAAGACGGCTCTGTCATTATCCCTGAGCCATTGAGGCCCTTTATGGGCGGACTTGAGTCCATATATCCCAAACCTAGATAGGATGATGAGTTAAATTTATATTTATTCGGGAAGTTCCGTGGGATCATTCTTAGGTTATAAGAAAAGCCGACAAATACGTTGGTCGTTTCTTAAATTTTATTTGGAATTCTTTGCATCACGAGATGCCCGTTATAGAGAGTTCAAGTTTTGTTGCAATGAATCACGTTGTGTTTGTAGTCACGCGGTTATTTTCTTAGGATCCAAACAAGCCTCAGTGTGGTTGGGGACGTTGTAAATTATCGCCTGTTATGAAGAACGTCGTGAATTATCACCTAAAGAAACAGTTAAACACGTTTGTGAAAATGCAACATTACAAGGACGCAGTTTTGAAGAGAAGCAAAACGAAAACAAAGATGAAAAAATACTCTGTAGCTTTTGTTTCTTCACCCAAAAACTACATTACATCAATAGTCCTCTCTCTCTCTCCTCTCTCTCTCTCTCTCTCTCTCTCTACAATTTGAGTTTGCTGAAATCAATCTTTTGTACTGGATATGTATAGGCTTCATAATTGATTTGTTGGCCCAAAGTACTCAGTTTTGTGAAAGTAGTTATCAGATCAACCTGAGAACAGATTCAATTTTGCAACCAACAATTAGAACTGACATGTTAACAAGGTAAACAAGAACTAACAAACCAAGGGCAGACACAGACCTCATAATCTGTTTCTGATACTGTTTCGCGGCTGCGTTGGTATTTCTGAACCCACGGAAAAACTTCCGGATCAGCGGCTAATAGGGTTTCTGTGGCTATTTGATCAGGACCCAAGAATGCAGACATAACTGCTAGCTGGCCAAATCAAACAATAATGTGCTAGAATCAATAATCATGGAGCGATTTTCTTGCGCAGAAAATCTGTTTCTTTTTGTCGGTGCAGTGTTTAACTTGGTGAAGAAGTAAGATCCTAAAATGCAACTGCAGTTGTAGAAGTGATGAAGTAGAACCTGGCGGGGGCCGAAGCCAAGGGCAGAGAACTTGTCTTTCGATTCCTGGACACTTGCTTTGTCCCACTGGGGAACTCTTCCCTCTGGATCTGGCTCCTCCGTATCTGTTCTTCCAAAATTCCTTTCAAACAAGCCCCACTGTGGGCACAACAATGGTTGTATGAGTTACATTCCTTAACCGATAATTTTCCTATAACGTGAAAAAGCAATGCAGCTAATTATATGTACAGATCTGTCATAAGCAAAGCATGGAAAGAAAAAGAAAGACTTCCGCGTTTTCATGTTGATTTCAGTCCAACCATTCGTTCCATCTACCTCGCTAATGAAATAACTTCATTTCATAATTATGTGAATAGATAAAGAACTTCAACACCAACCATACGAAAGTCTAAATCAACATTTTCAATAACCATAATGGTCCTGGTGTATCTGTATGGATCAAGACAAATGGAGAACATACCTGACCATTCGAACCATATGCGGTGTATAATAAATTTCCCTTCTCTTCATTCCCTCCGCATTTGCGAATTGCAGCAGCGAGAAAAGTTTGCTTAGTAGCACTTTGTGCTGCATAGAATGAGCGAAACTGAATTATAGACATACTACCAGTTTATCAACCAACCCTATATGTCACTCAATGCTGATTGCCATTCATATGATGTGTTCAAATATTGTAATTTTAAGAAGCACAACCTGCTAACTGAATCAGATCAGCATACGAAATTGGTCCACCCTTCGAATTAGAATCGATTTCCTTCTTTGCTTCTTCTATTAAATTCAAAGCAGCAGCAAGCCCCTTGTTTTCAGGTCTGCTTATCTCTGAGCTTCATGCAAGAAAAATTGGAGAAGGAAGTGAATGTAGCTTTTGTACAAGGACTTGTAACCAAATTGCAGAGAGAGGATAAAAAGCAAGAAACTGAAACTGCAACACAAATGTGCGAAGTTCACGTTTATTCCTTTTTTATTAATTCCTAATACTTGAATGATATCAGAACTCGCGGTTCATTGCACCCAGTAGGCAGAGAAACTAGTAAAATGAAGACCATAAAATCAAACATCCAAAACTTTCATTAAGTTGTTTTTGAAAAAGCATATGTTTCTGATTCTTTTCTGATATAGATTACAGGAGGACTAAGGGCTTAAGGCTATACATTTTCCTCTGCTTAAGAAACAAAAACCATATTAAAGAAAATCGTATGTGTAATGTTTACCTGAATCTGATTGATCCATTCGGGCCCCCCGATTTTGAAGCCTAAAATATTGATCACAAATTTGTAAGCATTTTACTTCCCTCCCTCAGTAATTACTCAACCAATCCAAGAAAATATGATGGCAATCTACAGTATTTCACAGGGTAAAGTTTTTCGCCTGACCTTATCATAAGTGACGGCATCATTCAGTGCCAAAGTTAGTAAGGATGGGATAAGTTCCCGATTTTCCTGAAACGAAGAGGCGAATGAAAATGTTATTGCCTCATGAAGTTGAAAATGTGATGAATTATGTAAACAAAGATATACCTTTATAGCTTTAAAGAGGGTGTCCTTGATACTTGCTGTATGCAAGTGAATAAGAATCAAGATCAGCAGATTGTGGATGAATCTAGTCTAGCCTTGAAATGAAGCATCCGAACAAAAACTTACAAAGAAATTTAGAACGCTGTCCGCGCTGTATCAGATCAGCAGCCTCGGCTACTTCAACAAATGTTCCTGAGCTTCTTACCATTTCCTAAAAAGACATTACAACTGGCAGAAACTCATCATCAATTCACTCTAATTTAAGTTTCTTCAGTAAAACCAGTACCTATTGCAAAATTAACTCTATTTAACTCTTCAGTTCAACAATGATGACACGACACATTTTCTTCTCGATGTATAAAACACAATGCGCTTGTGGTTAACTCTTTAGAACACCGCCAAATGTGATTACTTGATTAAAATGTTGAACGAAGAAGAAGAAAATTATAAACGAGGGTAACGATAATCTAACCAAACCAAACTTAAAACAAAAGTCATGTTTCTCTCGTTACTAGTCCTAGGCATTTGCCACACTTGAGAAAAAGAATCCAAAAAGCTGCGCAGGCCGAGAGGCTAGTAATAATAACAGTAATGAGGAGAAAGCTCTTACCACTGCCAATGGTGGCGCCAACGCATTTGAGAATGTCCCTCCTATGAAATCTGTTCTCAGTAGCAGCATCAGCTTCAATTTTGTTACAATGTATTTTAACCTGAAATTCCATTTCGGACAGTACATAAGGCTAAAATCACTACCTATATCAGGAGAAACTTACATGCAACCGAAACACGAAGGTGTTTTAACTTGCGTACATATAACTGCGTAATTAGTTTGGAACTCCGCCACCTTGGCTTCTCAATGCACGTAAGTTATTCTGATATTCTCATTTATCAGAAGACACATAAAATCATAGGCAAAAGAAAACTTACAGAAAGAATTGGATATTTCGGGGCGTTGAGAGTGGCAGGAGGAAGTGGAAGAAATGAAGGGACAGTTGAGAGGAAGGACACCGCCATTGCCGCCGCGCTGATTACTGTCTGTCCTACTGAGAAACTTTGAGAATCACCGTCTGTCTTGACTCTTGCTCAAGTGTGGGAGAAAGTGGCGACCTGGGGAGGGAGAGGATATATCAGCGTGGGCCCCTGTATTGTGTTTACAGTCTTACGTGTGGCTTATGGTATTGTGTTATCCTATCTTTAAGTCCGACTCAGATTCTGGGGGATCAGTACCGATGATAAAAACCCCTAGTCTAAAGTAAAGACTAAACAATTCCAAACGAGAGAAGCTTTGTCTGACCTGTAACACCGTTACATGGTTATAATGACCCTGTAACACCGTCACATGGTTATAATGAGTTGATTGGCAATACCGCACAGAAAAGCTTCTTTGAACTATGCTAGTACAAGGTACACATGGTAATTTCTATGAATAATTTTGCTAGAAGAGACGTTCATGTAAGGGGGGAAAAAAGGTCATTGTAATTCGACCATTTATGATATCGGCTTGGCAAAAATACCTTCCTTTCATGGATGTATGCACTTGCTCTTTCTTTTTCATCACGTGACTTAGAACATGAGACTTAAATTTTTGAAAATTTTAAAACAGCTGATGTGGAATGTGACGGGCTGCCACTAATCTGAAAAAATAGAAATGCAGACAACAACAGAGATATAACCAAATTCTTTTTCACTTTTATGGCATCAAATGACTATGAATACACGAAGAGTGCTTGTTACTTTGGAAACAAACAATGTATCTAATTCTGGAAACTTTGGAAAGCACGTAAATAGGCCTTGATCGTAAATGGAACGCCCTCTTTGCGGCGATCCATTCCCTGACCTGCATACCCCTTGCAATTTGCTCTTCATCAACACCATAACATATCACCACCAGCTATCTAAACTCAGGATATACATGCGCTTCGCTGTCCCTATGTGGACAGCAGAAACAGAAACTTCTTAAGTTACAATAAATTGCAACGAATGATTGTGTCATCACCCTGCCGGTGCAGGAACCTTTTCGTTAAAAGACCCATTTTGTCATTTTGAAATATATGAGATGATTAGCGAGTTCTTTGCACTGGGAATTCTTTTCGACACAAACAATCTGGTAAGGGGTTCTCGTAAAATGGTTCTTCTGAACGAAACTTATCCTTCCCCCTAAGTCCTGGAAGGGGACCTCTTCTCTTCTGTGGGGAGCCTTGCCTGCGTAAATCACCACCACATACAGTTAAGAAAATACCCATCATGCAGTAAATTTGAGAAAAAATTTACTTGTGAATATGTTTTAATTCACAATAACCAGAAATGATATTGGTTGCGAAGGTGATTATCACAGAACTTCAAAGCTTTAGGTGAGAAATCACTTACCATTTCCTGTGCATTTGAACAACTATTTGATAAGGTTTTGCCTTCCTCAAGAGCTCCCTGCTCAAGTTGGTCAAACAGCGAAACAAGGGCTTTTCTGATAAACACACAGAAGCATAGAAACCAATTCAGTTTGCAGCATAGATGGTCAGAGAATGGTGTTTGGAGTAGTTCAAAACATATAATTCAAAAAAGAAATTGCCTTGCCTATCAGGAGATATTGTTTTCCTGTGTCCAAGAAAGCGACGGTGACCTTCAACTGTAGCTGCCATGTGTCCGGGGTATGTAGGTATAAATACATCACTTTCAACTGAAACAATGTAGTCAAGCGCAGCCATTTGAGATGCATGATTGGTAAAAGGTTCAAGCTCCTCAATTGATGCCAATGCTTCCTGAAAGTGAACCCCAGTAATGGTTAAACGAGCGTTACAATCCATGTGTTTAGATTTCAGACATCCCCGTCCACCCCCAGATATATTTGAAACAAAAAATTTTCAAGTACCCCCAAACCACCTCTTAAGATAAATTGCATAGAAAGATAGATGTTGATTTGGACTTCCTTGCGATCTTTTTCTTAGTTACATAACTAATTGGAGGCAATGGGCCCTTGACCTATTCTAGTTCTACACCCACCTGCTTTCTTCCATCTGTTAGCCAATCATACAGACCCATCACAGTAAAAATAAAAAAATAAAAAATCTCAAATGCTTCTTAGTTATAGATGAATAACCAGCACAACACACAGGAATGATCAATTAAGATTGTATATAAACTCAGCAAGACCACCACACACCACAATTTCTTTCTTTCAGAAACGTGGTTCCTGCCTTTGACGAACAAAAGATAGGTTTGAATTTTGAAAGGATAACGTCGAAACTTATAAATGACTTTCAGCTAAAATTTCCATCCCCGTCTATTGGTGATTGACAAGTACATTACTATCATCTGAGAGACTTGCTGGTCTGATGTCATTTTCTACATTTCTACAAGAAATTTATCAGTTGTGCATAGTAATCTACATGACTCTTAATTAATAATATATATATATATATTATCTCTGATAATCCGCACTGCATACATCAGCAGGTTTGCCACCATTGTTCACAACTCATAACCTTTTGATTGTATTAATGATGTACAGTCATAGAGAAATCTTTCTTCGTACCCAGATTTAAAAGAAACAAAACATATGGCCAGATGACAGTGAAATGCACAAGATAACATTCTGTCTGATATTATAATTTTGAGTGATGTGAGCCCCCAAGAAGAGTAGTAGTCCCATTAGTTCAAAATAGTAATAATGCATCTGGCCAACATATTGGATCAAATAATGTGCAGAGCTCCCTTGCTACAGCAGTCGTGATACTTTTCTATCTATAATCTATGCATATTTGAATGTCATATTATTCAATGTTAACTTCAAGGCCAACCACGGGCATTCCAAAAGTTTCATCATATTCCATTCAGAGCTCAGTTATTTAACAAAATGGAAAAGATCAATTATAAACATCAATTATACCTTGCTCTTCAGTATTGGAAAACGGGATAGTAGATCAGCCATACGAGAATCGCCATATCTTTCCAGCAGCAATGTAGATAGGTGTGTTTGGTGGGTATCCAAGAGCACTGAGAAAAATTCCAGTCTCCCAGAGAGTTAATGGGCAATACCCTCTGGATCTCTGTTCTATGGGATTAATTTCCTTATTTCTCCAGGTTTTTGTGTTCTCCCTACATGTTCCAAATAAAATAGGCATCACAAATGCTCAAGGATTAATCAACGTGACATAATTTATTGCAATATAAGCATTTCATACCGAATGATCCCTAGTTCATAAGCTTCAGATGGAGTTAAATCCTGCATGCATCCACTAAAGGCAAGCATGTCCTCAAATCGTAAATGAAGGGCAATATAGGGACCAAATGACCTCATCCGATCGACTAACAACTTCAACATTAACAAAACAAATAATTGTTTTTTTAATAGATGGAATAGGACTGAAAAAGTTACAATAGGCATTCCAGAAATCAAACAAGCATTTAGATCTAAGTATTTACTTTTCCCATGGCTTCAATTTCAGGTGTAAAACGCAGAGCTTCATAACAAGCACGACAGCGAAGTTTCTGTATATCTACAGGAAGGTTGTTGTTTACTAAGCGAGCATCAGCTTTGGAAGCTCGAATAACCTTCGAAAAAGGATAAATTGTTTAACAATATGATTTTATTAGTTCAAAAAAGAATATATAAAATACATTCCATAAACCAGAGTGTTCCAGAAAGCACACCTTGTATAATTCCCAGAGACTAGCTATCTCGTCTTGGTAATAATCCATACCGCCCCAGCTTCTGAAAAGCTTAAGTGCTCTGGGACCAGAAGCAAGTTCCTTAGGAAGCTTTCTTACAATTTTAACGTCATTAGCTAGAGCATTGATAAAATGATCTTCATCAAATACATTTGAGAAGTTGCTGCGCGACATACACATGAAAGAATTCTTGCATCAATGATATAAAAACAGAATTCTCATAGTGTAAAACAAGTGACAGTGTTACCTAGAGTCTTTCCAAAATGACCGTTGATCAAGTTCTGGAATTACAAGAGTGGCATTTATGATACGGGCTACAGCTTCCATGTCACATATCTGGAATTCATGGATGACACATTTCAGCTCCATTCAAAATTCAGATGATGATTCATAAAATTATCATGTACATAGAGCCAAGCAAAATATTCTATGGCTTTTGTGTCTACCATTGTGAAACAAACTAATCAGCCATCATATAATCAAGGCCAAACGGGGTACTAAATAGATTTGTAGCGTGATGTCACATAGCCTACCATGATGGTAAAAATTATGCAGTTCTACAGTTTTGATCACTTAAATCGTGCAGGTTTTTTAATATTACATAGGTACAGACCAAACCCCACAACATCTAGGCAGGCACAGCCTAGTCAAAATTGTGCACCCATGAACACCATTTACTTTAGTAACTATATAAATTGCAGCAATCAATTAATATGTGCAAATGCAACTAGATAAAATTAACGGGAGAGAACTCTCAAAGCTTAAATGCCGTATTTAGTAATGGAAAGAAAGAAGGATAAAGGCCTATCCCAAAACTTTATGCGGGAACAAATACAACTTGAGATCCCATATGTGACAGATTAGAATCAGATTATTGTTTCACAATAGTAATATGTGAGGGATTAGAATCAGACTATTCTTCCACAACCTATCAATGATAAATATAATATATAATATATATATATATATATATATAAACTCTCTTTATAATTACATTGGAGGGAATCAAACCCTGGATCTATCCATAATCCTAACCCATTAATCCACCTTCTCTCACGGTCTCACTGCTTGGGCTAACTTAAGGGCTTAACATACATGAACTTTTGCTAAACACATTTCAAAATCAAAATTTGGACAGGATCAAAATTCAACACAAGACATTTGAGAAAGAATGTTTACATACCCTTGCACGCATCTGATTGAGACCACCATTTGTGCGCACTTGAAAGTAGCCCCGTGACTCTGCAGGAGCTGAATAAACAACAGTACAATGGAAATTAGGAACACCAACGGTATGTCATTATATTATCACCACACAATAAAACACTACCAGCAACTTACGTGTATAGTTGGGACTTGGCTCTATACATTGCACAAAATCGGGACTCAGTGGAATCTTCCATAGGTTGTCATCCAATATCCAACTGGTATCATCCAACTGTCAAGTCTAAAGGAGTGAAAACATGAAAGATGCATAACTTTGTCGCATCAACAAATGTATCAACAAGATTCAGACCTATTGTGTTTCTTTTCTCATTTTCCTCCAAGGATAATGTGTTTCGTAGCATCTTATTCCGTTGAATCATAATAACGCCAACCATGAAGTTGATGCATTCAAATTCTTCTTCTTTAGTTTTCCTTGGTTGTCACAATATCAACATTCAAATGGAGTGCATAAAGAAATCATCAATCATATACGTAATTGGTCATTTTATACTTTTTCGGAAGCAAACAAACTGAAAAAGAACAAACCCAACAGTAATCAAATACTCATAGGTGCATACCTAGCACCAAACAGAAAAAAAAAAAAAAAAAAAAAGAAATCTACAGCATTTTTCATAATTAACAAACTCAACATTACTATCATCGAAAAGGCTAAAACCAAATTGTAAAAAATACAAAAGCTTCAAGAAAATAATCGAAAAATAGAATGATTTTACATTTGCATTTTCTGAAAAGAACAAACGAGTGAGAAAAGAGAGATGGGTCGGATTAGGGGATCACCGTGGGGAGCTTGACGGGGTCGGAGAAGTTGGGGTCTTTGGAGAAAGAGAAGAGAGCCACTAGCGCAATTGAGCATACGGCGCACGTTAGCACCTTCCTCACTGTCGCCAATGTTCTCCAGCTCCTCCTCTGCATCTGAGTATCTGAAGCTCACTCATCCAGAGGCCCCACCTGCAAATCCAGAGGACGGGAATGCGCGTAAAGATTGCGGCTTTGGGTTGTTGGTTTTGGTGGGTTCGCGGGTTTTGGCGCTGAGCTGAATCGGTTGGCCTGAACTCGGGCGTTTGTGATTGGATTTATGCCGCTTCGCGTGTGCCTTCTGGGTTTTTGCCGCTTTGCTTGGTATATATGAGGTATTAAACGTTTAACTTTCTATTTCGTTTCCGAGTTTTTGACGTTAACCTTTTATTTTCAATCAGCTTTAAAGATTTTATTTTCACCCTTTCATATTTATGTCTGAATTAGAACAGTGGTCCATGAATTTTGACCTGATTGGAATTTTGATATTGAATTAAAAATGAGTATTCATTTGACAACTTTAGCAATGATCATTTCGAATAACACAGTTAGAACTCTCATCCCTTATGCGACAGAAGTTCTAATGGTGTTACCCAAAAGAAACATCACTTCACAGTTTACATTGTGATAAATTCAAAGATCAATATTCACATATAATATTTAGTTTAAGGATCGAAAGTCCAAGGACCAATGCTTTAACGTTCTCTTATTTCTTTAACATTTCTCCTAATAAACTTAAAAACAAAATAGTCATCACATGTTTCAAACATAATATTAAGATGTAAGAAACTTGAGATACTGCTATTCTGCCCCCTCGGCATCCCAATTGTATGTCAGTGCATCTTGTGATGGGCTTCCACTAAGCTAAAAAGAGGAAATGTAAACGTAACAGAGAGAACAAACAAAATCCATAACTTATATTGCATCGATTATGACTATGAGTACATGGAAGAGTGCCTCTAACTTTTGGAAACAAACAATTTAACTATTTTCGTATCCCCCAATGAATCATTTTTCTCCATTTCTAGAAATGTAGAAATCAGGCCAACTTCGCAAAGCTCATAACAAATATTGCCTTGGTCATAAATGGAAGGCCACGTCCCCGGCATCTCGTTCCCTCACCTGCATACCCTACTCTAGCAGTTTGCTCTCCATCAACACTATGTTCTACCGCCCCCGTACCCACCAGCTACCTAAACTCAGGATATACACACGCTCTGCATCCCTGTGCGTACAAGTGCAACACCAATTTGTAAACCTACAAGAAATTGCAGAGAATGATCGTCTCACCAGCCTTCCAGCACAGGAATCTTTTCTCAAGAGTAACAATTTCACTATCAGAGACGATTAGAGAGTTGCTTGCATCGGAAATTCCTTCTTACACAAGCAATCTGGTAAAGGGTTCACATAAAAGGGTTCTTCTGAACGAAACCTTTCCGTGCCCTTAGTTCCTGAAATAGGACCCTTTCTCTTCCGCGCGGAGCCTTGCCTGTTGATCCAGATTCGAAGACGGTCAATTATGAAATAACCGGCTTACCAGCCATTCAATAAATTGAGAAAACAAGAAATTAATATTTGTGTACACAATGACCAGAAATGGTACTGGTTAATTTGGTTTGGCATTCTCAATGAACTTCAAAGTTTTTGGGGGAGAAATATCATACCGTTTCCTGTGCATTTCAATAACTCTATTTGATAGGTTTTTGCCCTCTTTCAGAGTTCCCTGCTCAAGTTTGTCAATCAGGCGAACAAGGGCTTTTCTGAACAGCACAGAAACAGATTCAATTTGCAGTTTTGTTTATGATCATAAAACTGTATCACAAGTGGTCAAATCTGCATAAAATTCAGAAAATAAATCGCCTTGCCTGTCAGGAGATATTGTTTTCCTGTGTCCAAGAAATCGACGATGACCTTCGACTGCTCTCGCCATGTTTCCAGAGTATGAAGGTATAAATACATCACTTTCAACTGAAACAATGTAGTCAAGCGCAGCCATTTGAGATGCATGATTGGTAAAAGGTTCAAGCTCCTCGGCAGATGCCAATGTTTCCTGAAATTGAAGACCAGTAAAATCCCCACGTTAATGAATTACGTAATCAGAACAGATTTTTTTTACGCAACCCAAAACCATCCTCTTACAATGGATGATTTGATTTTTCACGAGTTATCCAAATAAAACCTGGTGTATTTGATGTAAGGGCATCTCACCTTCTCTCCCTTAAAATAAAATATTACTATACCCATTAAAATATAGTAGCAGAAGAAAAATACCACGCAGTCTCGTCATCTGTTAGCTCAGTACCCATCACCAGCAACATGGTACATTAAATACCTCTTAGTAATAGATGAATGACAAGCATAACACACAGAGAAAAAGATTGAGAATCATAAACTCAGCTATACTTCAACCCATAAGAGTTTCTTTCAGTACATCCTTTCTTTGTAGTAATTTGTACCCGGATTTTTTGAATTAAAATATTTATGGTCAGATCACAGTGAAATACACATCAATTGGAAATTATAATTGTGAGTAAATTGAGCCCCAAGGAGAATTGCTCCAGTCGGTTTAAAATAGAACTAATGATGTGGCCAATATATTTGGTAATCATGTAAACCTTTCAGTAGTCCCGATAATTTTCCATCTACACTCTTTAATATGAATATCACATGTTCCATGTTCACTGAAGCCCAACCACGGACATTCCAAAAGTCTTATCATATTGACATATTCCACTTGGAGCTCAGTTAAATAGACAAAGCATAAAGCATCAATCATACCTTGCTCAGCAGTATTGGATAACGGGACCGCAGAGCAGCCATATGAGACTCGCCCCCATATATCTTCCCAGCAGCAAGATATATAGGTGTGTTCAAGGGGTACCCAAGAGAGGTGAGAAAAATTCCAACCTCCTTTGGTGTTAAAGGGCAATACCCTTTGGATCTCTGTTCTGTGGAATCAATTTCCTTCTCTTTCCAGTATGGGGTATTTTCTCTACAAGTTCCAGCTAAAAAAGTCAGGCATCACAAGAGCTAAATGACCATCCATAAATTGATTGAAATCGTGCATATAAGCATGTTATACCGAATTATCCTTAGTTCCTCAGCTTCATCTGGAGATAAATCTTGTGTGCATCCACTAAAGGCAAGCATGTCCTCCTCAAATCGTAAATGCAGAGCAATATAAGGACCAAACGACCTCATTCGATCAACTAACAACTACAACATTAATGAAACAAAATATTTGTTAAGTAGTCATGGAATAGGACTAAAATGTTACATAGGCAATCTAGAAATCAAACAAGCATTTAGATCTGACTATTTACTTTTCCCATTGCTTCAATTTGAGGTGCAAAACGTAGAGCTTCATAACAAGCACGACAGCGAAGCTTCTGTATATCTAGAGGTAGGTTGTTATTTGCCAAGCGAGAATCAGATTTGGCAGCTCGAATAACCTTGGAAAAAACCATGTGTATATCAAGATGATTAATTCAAAGGAAAAACAACACAAGAGATCACATAAACCACAAGGTTTCAGAAACCACACCTCGTATTCTTCCCAGAGGCCAGCTATCTCATCTTGGTAATAATCCATACCAGACCAGCTTCTAAAATGCTTAACCGCTCTTATACCAGTAGCTAGTTCCTTAGGAAGATTTTTTATAATTTTGACATCATTAGCTAAAGCATTGATAAAATGATCTTCATCGAAAACATCTGAGAAGTTGCTGCATACCAAAGATATGAAACAAATTCTTGCATCAGTGACATCAAAGCTAAGAATAAAAGAAAGAATAACTCAGAAATTAAATAAAAATATAGTGTTACCTAGAGTCATTCCAAAATGACCGTTTATCAAGTTCCGGAATTACAAGAGTAGCATTTATGATACGGGCTACTGCTACCATGTCACATATCTGAAATTCAAGAACGACACATATCAGCTCTGTGCAACAGTCAGATGATGATATTTATCATATAGTAGATAATATATATATATATATATATATATATAAAGTCATATATGTTTCTTTCATCGTGATTTGTGAAACACACCAATCAGCTAAGTAGATAGATAGAACAGTAGCATACTGTCTTGTCTTTGATACAACCATGATGGTAAAAATTGTGCATTTACAAAAATTCCTGCCACTTAAATTGTGCAGGTTTTCGACATGGTGACAGAACGAGTGCAGCACTTATCTGTCACATATGCCACTCTAAATGGAACTTAAGTTTCCAATTTTCCCTTCTTTTACAATCTATCAACGGACTAACAATATAAATAACTTCTTATTCCGCAATCAAAATTTGGAATGGATCAAAATTCAACACAAATATTCAGTTTTGTGATTAATCAACATAAATTTCATAAAGTGAGTAATTTAGGGAAGAGTATACAGACCCCAGCACGCATCTGGTTGAGCCCACCATTTGTATGAACTAGCAGGTAACCCCGTGACTCTGTAGGAGCTGAATAAACAACAGAAAATTGGAAATTAGCAACACCAAACAATATGTCATAGCTACTCAAAAGAACTGAATCAGAAGCTTACATGTATAATTGGGATTTGGCTCTACGCATGGCACAAAATCACGATTTGATGGACGTTTCCATAGCTTGTCAGTTTCCAAAATCCCACTTGAACCTTCCAACTGTCAATTCTAAAGAAGTGAAAACATGAAAGGTGCATAACTTTTTCACATCAATAAGTGTATCTAAATCTATAAGACTCGACCAAACTTCCAAGTGCTAACCAAAGGGTATATAACCTCTCTTTTTCTTTCCCCCTCCAAACAAAAATCAGCATCAACACATTATATCCTCGTTTCTCAGAATTATATTTCCTCAAATCCTAATTACACTTGAATTTGAAACTTTCAAAATTCTTCCCATATATCATCAATTAAATGGAGTACAAAAGGAAATCATCAACGATAAAAGTAATGATCAAAAGACAAAACCTTGCGAGAACTAGAAGGCAGAGGCGCTTTCAACAGATGAGGCGGAGCGATCTCCAGTGTCCAGCTCTGCTCGGCATTCAGCTTCTGGTATTTAATATCATGTTGCTACACAATCAGTAAACAAAAAGAAAAAGCACACAACACACAAATTCAGATCAACCAACGAAATATTTCTCAAAAACAAAACGGAAATGCAACAAAGACTCAATTCTGTTGTCCTGTTTAGAAACAACTTCAGTTTTGGTAGAAACTTCCCATATGGGGAGTCAGTCAAATCCCAGTCAATGAACATCCACACCTAATCCAATATAAATACCAAAACTAAACTAAAAACAAAACCCAACTCAGATAACGAGTCAAAGATCCATAAATACATACACAAACATACCCTCTTTGTATAATTAGCGACCACAACAGTACTTTTAGCGACGATCAAAACCCAAATCCCGCTGATTGGGAAAAGGGTGTGAAAAAAATCTTCAAAAAAAAATACAAAAAGCAGAAGAATTCGAAAGAAAAAGATAATAAAATCGAATGATTTACCGTGGGCAGCTTGAAGGGGTCAGAGAAGTCATGGACCTTTGAGGAAGGGAAGACCAGTACATGGACAGAGAAGAGAGCCACTAACGCTATTGAGCATATCGCGCACGTTAGCACCTTCCTCAGTGCGGACAATGCTGCCCACCTCTTCTTCTGCATCTGGGTATCTGAAACTCCTCACTTGTTCAGAGCCATCGTCCAAAAATCCAAATGCGAATAAAGATTGAGTCTTTCGGTTGTGGGGCTTTGTGGGTTTTGTGGGCTTAGCTGAGGGCGGAGGTTAGGCAGAGGTCGGCGGTGCGGCTGAAGTCGGCCGGCCGGTTGTGGGGGTTGGGTTTTATGCTGTTTTGGCAGTGCGTTTATCTGGGTTTTTGCCGCTTTGCTTTCGGTTGGTAGTTTGGTCTGTTTCCTTGCAATGGCGATCGGTAGAGAAGACTCTTTAATTATTCGCTTATATAAAACCAAAAACTAGAAGAAGAATAGAAAAGACACAAAGAAAATGGCCATTTAATTACTTCGTTTTTTTTCTCAACCATTTTAATTACATTTTATAAAAAGGTATTATTTTCATTTCAAAAAAGATCTCTTTTACTTTTTCTTTTGTGTGTAAAAAATTAGATAGAGCTCACACATTATGTGTCTATGCGTCTGTAAATGTAAAAATAGTAAAAGGAAAAAAATATAGAAAAGAAAAGTTGGGGAAAATGTGAGAGATAAAATGTGTGTTATTATTATTTTTTTAAAATTCAATATATTATGACAACATCTGGATTTGGTTTGTGGGAAATAATATTACTGTCTATGATTTTATTTTGTTGTAAAAGATTAAATTGTCGTGTACTATGGTTTATTGATATTCTTTTTTACTTTTAAGAGAGAGATCATGATTGCTAGTCCATTACGGGGCTAAGTCTACCATTTACTCCTTAGTGTAGATAATATTTTTTGTTCAAAAATAAATAGCAAATTATCATTTCATTTTTTTTTTTTTTTTTTTTTACAAAAATGATTTTGTTAATAAGTAATTTAGATAAAGAAAAACTTCTAATGAGAGAAAAATGTTTTAATAATGTTTTTCCACTTATATCATAAACCCCACAAAAATTCTGAAATTAATTCCTTTTCATTTAGAAAAAAAAAATTATTTAAATTTAAATTTTTCTTGAGCGAAATTCAAACTTTTTCCTAACAAACAGAAGGAATTGTCAAATTCTAAGATCTGATAAAAGAGTGTTATCTTAACAATCAATTTGTTAGATTAGCCTCAAAACATTTAGATAAGTTATAGATGATGAATATGAGAAATAAGGAAAAGGAATAAGATAATAGTTAGTTTAATATTGTAGATAGTGGTACTTTTTTTTTTTTATTTGTAAGTGAGAGATTTTGAATTCGACTCACATAGATAGTCCTCTTCCCATTAAATGTAGAATGAAAAACAAGTATGATTTCAAACCACAAATGATGAAAAGTTAGTAAAATCTGTTTATAATTTCTCTTTCCCCAACAAGGATCATATATGTGCTTGGCCATTGTTTGTTTTGATTGTATGCAAAGTTCCGATTAGAAAAGTTCTACCTTGCCCTTTAAACTTTGGCAAAAGCTCAAACCCATGCCTTTTTTATTCTTTAGTATGAATATTTGTTTTGGAAAATGTTCACAGTTTTGTTTTTTCCTCACATGTTTTTACTTTTTCTTTGTCAAACATATATTTTTACTTAATCATATCGTTATTTTTATTTAATTTACTCAATTTGATAATTAGAAGTGAAGATGTTGCATCACTTATGAGCACTTGATGGGCTGCCAACAATTCATCAAATGATAATTAAACGAGTAAGAATTTTGGTGGGTAATACCATTTTTTTTAATAATACGTATCATTAAGTGGTTTGAAAAATTAGTGATTATACATATAGGAGTATAATAGATTTCTACAACAATTCAATTTATTTATATAAAATTCACATTACCGAGTTACGTGTTCATTGTAATTGATTCTTTATAATACACTTATGAGTAATATTATGAAAATTTTCTCAAAAATAAAACTCTTCATAAATTCTATGGCACGTCGCAATTTAACATTAATTTTTATACTAACATTATAAAATATTATATAAAACATGAAATAACAAAAAATTCATAAAAAGTTATACTTTTAAAAGAGTCTCGCTACCATTAAAGTCAATTACTTGTGAGTTTCCCAGGGTTGCAAAGTCTTCTACCGAGCTAATAAAGCTGCAGGAGTGGTGGAGGAAGTGAGGAAACAATGTGGGAATAGTGTGGATCTCAAGATGGAGTCAATAATAAGATGAGTTGCCTTGATGCCTTGATGGGTAGGAAGGCATGCATGTGCTCCTTCCAGTATTCTGTGTCATATCTCCTCTATAGTTGCGTGATTTACACTTTATTGGTGGTCTTAATTTTATCGGGTTAAATTTCTGACAAAATTTTATCAAAACTCAAATCAATGCACTATCCAGCTTCATGTTATCTTTCTCATCAATGAAAATCAAACAATTTACCTCAAAAACATATACAGTGTGACTTGATAGTTTTAACCAAAATTAGTAGCGGAAATTAAAAAGAAACATGAGAAATTCACTAAAATGAGAATTTTATAAGTTTTAATTGATGAAATAAACAATGGTAATATATCGGTTAAATATTGATAATACTATTCATTGAATATTGACATCATATCAACAAAATCCCAAAACATAGTCATTACATAATTGAGATTGTATTTTCATCACTTCAGTTAATTTCTAAATAAAAAATTGAAAAATATAATTTACATTAACTAAAGTGAGTTTTCGCCAATAAATTTGGGTCTCTGACATCAAAACTGCAAACAAGAGCGATCCAAAAAATTTCACATAGATTGACTTCTTTCTTCGAGTATTATATGGTGGTTGCATGGCTGACTGGCGTTGTCTAGAGAAACGCTTAGTTGAAGTTACTCAAAGTTGGCGCCCAAATTATTTTTTCTTTTAAAAAACGTGCAATGGAAGAGCCCACCCTAACTTAAGGATTGTTGAGTAGGAATGGCAATTTAATTTGTCAAACTCAATCCCCGTAAGAAACCGATCCCAATGGCAGTTTTAGGGACTAAATTTTGGATATGTTATGGTTATGGATAAACATTGAGTAAATTGTTTGGTTTCGATTTGGTTATGGTTATTGGGGGATTTGCCCGGAACTCGTACACAAAACCGCCCCGTTTTCATTTTTTAACAAAAAATTGAAATATTTAGTCTCTTGTTAAGGGAGTTATCAATAACCATGCATTATTATATATGGAAGTCCATGCCAGTAGTTATATGCATTATATCATTAATAGTGTAAATTATATGCTTTATATACCTCCAAACCCGATCCGTCCGGTTGTCATCACTAATTCCCTATGTTGTACCCTTGAATGCAAGGTAAAAATCCATGGAGAAATATTTTGGATATTGTCTATAAATTTAAATATAGAACATAACAAAAAAGATAAATCAGTACTGTAGAATTACTTCCCTCATTTTATTTGTAATTATATTCGAAAATAATTGTGTTTATGAACATAATGTTGAAAATTATATATTATAATATGAAATATTGTAATATATAATTTTAATAATTGAATGAAAAATAATGTTAACCAATTTCTTAGAAAGGTTAAGTTGTTTAGGTGATTTCCCTTGATAAATGATGTATACTTATAGATGAAAAGTTACATCTCTTTAAGAAGTAGAAATTGGATTCTATATAAACCCATGAAACCATTGGTATTAAATATAGAAAATTATAATTAGTTTTTACTCTGGAGAAATACGGTTTCCCCACTTTGTTTCTCTCATGCTTTGTGAGTCAAATTCCAAGTTGTGTCTTGAGAGTACGGAATATATAAAGTTCGTCTGAGTCCGAAGATTGAAGTGATTTGACTTCGGATTATAGATTGTTGAATCCTGGGAGATGAACGCCTACCGAACTACAAGCACAAGAGTAGGGGCGAAATTCTATATATCTTTAGGACATTGCATTTATGCAAGTTTCAATCTCCGAGTTTGTCAGTTATTCTAACTTTCTCTCTAGTTGTTTATATTAATCTCATATATAATTGATGTTGTGAATTTCCTTATGATTATTATCATTGAAATTATATTTTTATTTTTCATATTTTCTAATATTGCTCCAACACATAACCCCTGAGATGAAAGAAGCCAGAAGTGGTACAAATATTAGGGTTATGGTGTCTACAAGAAACGGCATTGTGTCTACCAGGACACCCGAAGAACAGCGGCAAGTACTACTGGATGGATGTGATGCATGATAAAAACTAACATAATTTGCAAGTAGCAAAGAAGACGAGTAATATGTGGAAAGCATGAGACTTTAAGCGCTTTTGTTGCCTCAGCGTTAATCCCTTCTAGTTCCCGTGACAACCACCCCTCCCGGCCCCTCCTTCCTATCTCTTTGTTCACTACTAGTTGCTCTCTCACAGCCCCCTGAGGGACCCTCTCATCGCAAGTGACATATCCCATGCCTTGACAAAACCACAGTAGCTCTGGAAAGTGAAGAAGAATGGAAGAAAAGGAGACACATCTCACGCCTTTCTCATGTCTTTCCCGTTTAAGATTAGGGTTAACTGTATATGAGAGTAACCTAAGGTTAAACGCACTTTTACGTTAACTTGCATTTTGTATATTTATAACATACTAAGATCAACGACCTTTTAGTCTAGCGATATGCTTCTGTTTCAAATATTAACAAGTTTCAATTTAAAATATACGAATTATATGGTTGGTTTTGAAAATGCATGCATGCATTGCCATGTAATTGAGAACAGTACATAAAACGCATGTTTAAGCAAATTTACTAACTAGGATTTGCCTGCAATAACAACGAATTTTACACAACTTTAGGTATGTGCGAATGACATATAAATTTATGTAGTATCACTACTGTTTAATATATTTGCAGCTATGTCATCAAACCAATAACAGTAGAAACCTCGATAATTTAGTACTCGGTAATGTTTTTGGCTGGTTCCGACCTAGGGATAACATACTAAATTAATATTAAATTTGACACATCCCGACTGAGATCAGGGCATGCTGACCATCACATGGAAGTGACGTAACCATGTGCACAGTGCGGAAGCTAATAAAATAAAATAAAATAAAAGTACGAATAAATAAAAACCAGCTATACACAACGTAAGAACATACATGTGCAAGCGTAAGTGTGAAAACAAAGTTCAGAGCACGAAGACCTAATGCAGTCCGGGAGAAACAACACTACATAAACACACCCAAAGGTGGTCCGACACTGGTGATAATCTGTCGGATATGCCAGGAAAATCCTCTGGGGAGCCACCAAAAGTGCTAGCCAACTAGAACCTGGAGGGGCGCAAAACAGAAAGCGTGAGTGGGCAAAAACAAAGCTTTTC